GGCGAATACTCTCCACGGTCACAAACAGAATGAAATGCCTAAAAGCTGAAGATGAATGCGTTGAAGTCTTATTCAATAGCTTCCCCGTATTGGAAAGATTATACCTTCTATTTGATCATGATTTAGTGTATTTGCAGAACGAGTTGGACAACTACCTTTTCGACGTCTCTCGGTTCCCTCGAATACGCGAACTCCACTGGTCAAAAAATGGGTTGTCGTTGAATAGTTTCATTCTGGCCGCCCAACGTTTACCTCCACTCAAAGTCTTGTCCATGAATAGTTTTTCACCAAGAGGGCGCCTAGTCGTCAATCGATGCTCCAATACCCTCGTATCTCTATCGCTTCATATCAGAGAATCTACTAGGGATACAGCAGGTCAAATTGATTTTCCACATCTCCGCCAATTGTTGATAACAGAGTCGGACTTAAAGACAAAGAAACGACTTCTAATCAATGCGCCACACCTCCAATCGGTATTCCATGGCACTTTTCTCGGAAGCTCTCACGTGGAACTCGAGTTGCAATATCCTCAAGCTGTCCAAGAAATATATCTGTGGAAGGCGTCAATGAATCTCGCCTCCTATCCCGGACTGCGGAATTTGTGGATCCAGACAAATGGAGCTTGTCTCAAATTTGTGAAAGTCACTCTGGAAGGTATAAATCATTGTTCCGACCTAAACCTTATACGATATGCCTGTGACTTTGACGACACTCGATCATATTATGAAGGAGTTGACGAAATGAGCATCAAAACAGTAATAATGAACACTATTGAAGCATCTGGACACAGAGCTTCGGTCGAGAAATTTGATCCCGAATACGTTCCGCATCCCGGAGCCGTGACATGCAGCGTAAGGGTTCTCCAAAGCATGACATAACACTTACAGTTGATACTAGGTATACTGTCATACAATGTGCCGAATTTGGTCACCGTAGCACCAAGAAAGCTACACAAGTGGTGCCGATAATGGACGTCTATTTCCCCAAGGAAGATAATGGTACGGTATAGGTCGATTTGAATGAAGGTACTAAGCGCTTATCATAGCTTTCATTCGAATCGTCAGAGGCTTGATACAGAGTTTCGTATGTATACATATATAGATGCTCAACGGCTTCTCTCGACTGAACGGAATAGTGAATAGTAACCAGCCGTATACGTGTAAATCTGCCGTATTGCTGTTCCATGTGAGTTATATGCGAACGTCACCAGTCGCACGCAGTCGCTTCAAGCTAGATGTATATCACATAGCAATGTTTCCTCGGCTCCGAGATCGTTTACCTAGGTGAACGAATTCGTTGTGAGAAATTGCTATGGTGAAATTTATGTATTCGACTGGCTTGTGGAGCATCGGCACTGCTCTGCCACCACCCAGCTTGATTAGCACCCCTCCTCTCCAAATGTCATTCCCGCAGGTAGGTACGTCTTTCCTGTTGTTTTCACCGTGAGAGAGATTGGAAAACATCTATAGAACAAGGGCACCCCTCTCAAATCGGTGAATTTCTGGTCAAACAGGATCATAGCAGAAGTCAAGTCGCTCCAGTACATCGATTGAATTTCGACGTTGTTTTGGAAATCCTCAAATATGCCTGGGTTAACGCAGACCCTGAGCAGTGGTTTAAAAAATAACGCCGCAGCAAATCCTCTGTTGTGTGTGCCGCAGGGGGCGTGAGATCGTGCTTTCGGAACCCAAACTGTGGGCCGGGTTCCAACGAATAGGGCAATATAACCCAAATCATGTCAAGTTGATTGTCCAACGGAGTCATCCACATCCTCTTCACGTCCAAATTTGGATCGGAACATCCAGGGCTCTGATGCAAATATTTTCCACGATCACAGAAAGAATCGAATGCCTGAAGTTGGAGGCAGCAAGCGCTAAAATCTTACTCAACAACTTCCCTGTACTGAGAAGATTGGACCTTCGAATCAAGGGGTTTCAAGTAGCACCGCTGCGCGGGGGCATGAGGAACAACTTTTTGGACATTTCTCGGTTTCCTCAATTGCGCGAATTTCACTGGACATGGGATGAGACATCGTTCGACGGTCTCTCTCCGCACTTGCAACGTTTGCCTCCACTTCAAGTCTTGTCCATAGACTTATTTGCGCATCGAGGGCACTTAATCATTACTCAATGCGCCAATACCCTCGTATCTTTATCTCTGAGTATTTTCGAATCCACCGAGAATAGGGGAGATCAGCTTGACCTTCCACATCTCCGTCAGCTCCTGATTGCGGAGTCTGACGTGGAGACAAAGAAGCGACTTCAAATCAGTGCGCCACATCTTCACTCGATATTCCATGGTGTACATTCCGGTATAGGTCATGCAGAGCTCGAATTACAACATCCTCTGGCTATACGAAAAATATACCTATGGAAGGCATCCATGAATCTCGCCTCCTATCCCGGACTTCGAAGTTTGTTGATCCAGGCGGACGGATCTACCCCCGAAGTTGTGAAAGTCACTATGGAAGGCATAAAATATTGTCCTGACCTAAGCCTCATACGATACGGCTGTGACTATCATGTAGATGAGGACGTAATTGCCGAAAAGAACATCAGGGCAGTAATAATGAACACCATTGAAGCATCTGGGCACGCAGCTACTATCGAGAAATTCAGCCCCTATGTCTTTCCGCGTCCCGGATCTCTGACATGCAGTGTATGTACCCTCCGAGCAAAAGAAAACGTTAACGACTGATTCCAGGCTTTCTGCGGGACGATGGACAGGATTTGGTCTTGGTAGTACTGAGAGACATATGAGAGGGGGATAGGTGCCGTCAAATACCGCAGGAGTCATCGTTTGGGTATAGAAGGATCCGAGGTGTAAATACTGAAGGAACTTTGCGTGTATCATGGTCATTGTCGAAAGCGTCGAAAGGCTGGGAGGCAAATGCTATTCGGATGAATACGTATATCCTAAATGAATGTATGACAGCGTAGATATAAAACTTTGATGTGTAGGACGCGCAAAGGGTGGTCTGCCCCTACTCTGCTCTTTTAGACTCTACCTCCATTCGACCCTCCCTCAAACCCGCCTCAACAAGTTCAAATTCAACGTTAAAAATGCTCGCAAGGACTACTCTTCGTGCAATTCCTCGTCGTGCCTTTTCGACGAGTGCCCCACGTCAAACAAAAGTCGCCGTACTCGGTGCTGGCGGTGCGTTGCAGACATTTTTAATCATTTTTCATCGTATTCATGCTCAAGATACTCTTTTACATCAAATACAGGTGGAATCGGTCAACCGCTGTCGCTTTTGTTGAAGATGAACCCGCTCGTCTCGAGCCTCTCGCTGTACGATATCCGCGGCGCTCCTGGTGTCGCTGCCGATATCTCCCACATCGACTTTCCCGGTGAAGTACGTTTGCGGTCGCGTCGCATGACTGCGGACCTTCGGACGAAAAAAGTTTGCTAACCGAACACATTTCGTTAGGTCAACGGCTACCCGGCTGACAAGCTCGAAGACGCCTTAACAGGTGCTGAAGTCATTGTTATCCCTGCTGGTGTACCAAGAAAGGTATGTTGTCGTTTTGAGTCTATTTCGGCAGCCACTTACTGACGACATTGCTAGCCTGGTGTGAGTTTTCACATTTTTCGTATGTCTCTTTGGGTCCACGGACGCGCACATATGTTTTAGTTCGACTTGCCGTTCCCAACGTTGCTGGCATGGCGAATGCCGCACGTGAAAACACGCTCCGAATTCCTTTCAAATCTCATCTCGCCGTTCGAGCTCATGCTGACTGACTTTCCCATTGTTTCTTCTTTTAGATGACCCGTGATGATCTCTTCAACGTGAGTAGCTGTGACTATGCTATCGCCCTCTCCAGCCGCACTCTTCCGTCCACCCACTGCGGCCACTATTTCCACTCGTATACCATCTTTCTCACGCTTCTACTCGTAGACCAACGCCGGCATCGTCCGCGACCTCGCCCAAGCCATCAGCAAGACCGCCCCCAAGGCACACGTCCTCATCATCTCCAACCCCGTTAACAGCACCGTCCCCATCGTAGCCTCCGTATTCGAAAAGGCCGGCACATTCGACCCCAAGCGCCTCTTTGGTGTCACCACCCTCGACGTCGTCCGCGCCTCCCGCTTCCTCGCCACCGTCGCCGGTACAAACCCACAAGAGACACACGTCCCCGTCGTCGGCGGTCACTCTGGTGTCACCATCATCCCTCTCCTCAGCCAGGCAAAGGAGGCCAAGGGTATCATCGGTGACAAGGAGACGTACGACAAGCTCGTCTACCGCATCCAGTATGGTGGTGATGAAGTCGTCAAGGCAAAAGACGGTGCGGGAAGCGCTACCCTAAGCATGGCCTTTGCCGGTGCCAAGTTTGCCAACAGCCTGTTGAGGGCGCTCAAGGGCGAAAAGGGTATCGTCGTCCCAACCTTTGTCAAGAGCCCGCTCTTCGCAAAGGAGGGTATCGATTTCTTCTCGAGCAACGTCGAGCTCGGGGTATGTTAACCGTCTATCTCGCTTTCGTTCGTTATGACTAACGGATTCTTCCCCTCTAGCCCAACGGTGTCGAGAAGATTCACGAGCTCGGACAGATCTCGCCTGCTGAAGAAGAGCTCCTCAAGGCGGCTCTCCCAGAGTTGAAGAAGAACATTGAAAAGGGCATCAAGTTTGCCGCCTAGAATAGAAAGTCGTGAGCGAGCGAGCGCGTACTGGAGTATCTACTTTTCTATTTTATGCAATTCATTACATTTAACCCCACTCCTTTCACTCGATTGTGAAACGCTCAGCGGGCGTGCTCGTGGGCACCGGAGGAATATACTGATTCAACGCCACATTAACGACGAAAAGGACCCAGTAGCTTAACGGTAAACGCGCACCATTCTACCACCCCTGTTGTCCGGTGAGATCCGAGGTTCGAATCCCGGCAGGTCCCTTCTTTTGGTCTGCTGCGGTACTTTCCCTGCTTCTTTCTTGCTCTACTGCTCATGCATTTGATGAAAGTACAGGTTGAACCTCAGAATCAAACGCCACCAGACAGACCCGAGGACTTTGTAGCTTAACGGTAAGAGCGCACCTTTAATGGATTTTGGTGAGGTTCGAGGTTCGAATCCCGGCGGGTCCGCCACTGTTTTACTTACTTTATCTACCCTTGCACCTGGATTGCAAGGACCCTGTAGCTTAACGGTAAGAGCGCACCTTTCCACCAAATTCATGTTCCTGGTGAAGTCCGAGGTTCGAATCCCGGCGAGTCCATGGTTGTTTTCGTGTAGTTACTTACGGGCAGTAACTAGATTACAAGGACTCTGTGGCTTAACGGTGAGAGCGCACCATTCGGTGAGATCCGAGGTTCAAATCCCGGCAGGTCCTTTCTTTTGGCTATTGCGGCGCCTCTTCTTACGTATAGACACGTTAAATGGACTAGTAGAGCCTCACAGCTTGACGCCACCGCCGTAGACGCGAGGACTTTGTAGCTTAACGGTCAGAGCGCACCTTTCTACTGATATCTCGTTTCTGGTGAAGTCCGAGGTTCGAATCCCGGCAAGTCCATTACTGTTTTGGTTTATATCTTGCCTGGTCGCCGCTCGGTTACAAGGACTCTGTAGCTCAATGGTAAGAGCGCACCATTCCAACCAGCAATTGTCCACCGGTGAGGTCTGAGGTTCGAATCCCGGCGAGTCCATCACTGTTTTGGTCAATTTATTTGGCTGGTCGTGGCTCGATTACAAGGACTCTGTAGCTCAATGGTAAGAGCGCACCATTCCAACCCCCAAATTGTACACCGGTGAGGTCCGAGGTTCGAATCCCGGCGGGTCCATTGTCGTTTTGCTGTAGTTGTGTCCTGGCCCTTGCTCGATTACAGGGACTCTGTAGCTCAAAGGTAAGAGCGCACCATTCCAGCCAACGCCATGTCCACCGGTGAGGTCCGAGGTTCGAATCCCGGCAGGTCCATTAATGTTTTATTGTATCTGTTTTGTTGCTGAGGAGCGTACACTCTGTAGCTTAACGGTAAAAGCGCACCATTTCGAGTAGATTGACCGGTGAAATCCGAGGTTCGAATCCCGGCATGTCCATTCTGTTGTTAATTGCGATATTCTGGGAACATAGACCGGATGGGCCACACCAAATTTGGACCCTACGCTTGAACACCCGGCACCATCAAAGTTATTGGGATCATCTCCTTTTTATTCTAGAATATACTAGACGTTTCGCTTACTCGTATTCCGCGAACAATCCGTGCTACCCGGGCTATCCCGTCTTTGACAGTCTCCGAATTTGGCCGTTGAAATCGATAGACGTGCACTGAAATGGATAAACATGTTCTTAATGGCGTTAAATATCCCAAAAAGATCATTTTGGTTGGTGTTGGGTAAGCAAATGGACGTGTCGTGATGGCCTTAACCATAGCTGATGAGCGTGTGCATCCCCAATTTCCCATTTGACGAATAAAAAACGACACTGTCGTATATTCTACGTTTCTATTTGGTACATCGTCGCGCTTTTCACACTCGCCTCGTCTCCAGTGGCGCTTCTTGCTCCGGAAAGACCACCTTAGCAAAGCATTTACGACGAACGCTCAAAAACAGTTTTATCGTTCATCAGGATGTACGTCCATTTCCGTCGGATCTCGGGCCGAGAATCGTCAGTAGGCTGACTATGTCTGACAGGATTTCGCTCCTGTATGTCTTATATCCTATTACTAGCGTTTAATGGACTCTACATGTACTCTATTTGGGCTATCGAGTTCGTGGCTGATCGCCGCAGCCAGAACAACTCGTACCCATTCACCCAATCCACAACGTACAAGATTGGGATGATCCAGACGGTGCCATCGAATGGCCACGACTGGCTTCCTTTCTCCGCCGCGTACGGGAAGAAGGTGGCTTACCCAGTGACTACAAGAGCCACGACGGTCTTAACAAGCAGGTTCGTACCGTCCTCCGAAGGAAGGAGCATTGGTGGAATAAGGCTGATTCTCGTGCTTCTGGTATTACTAGATACAAGTTCCCGTGTCTGACGACCTCACAAGCTCATGGGCGCAGAAGTTTAACGACATTCAGGAGCACGCGAGAACTACTCAGGGAATTGATATCGTCTGGGGTCTCGTCGACGGGTTCTTACTCTACTGGCACCCAGTACGTCGTTCACTACCCGTATGATACTGGGGGCTCACTTTGTCGCTTAGGACGTCGTTCGCGAGCTCGACGTTAGGCTCTTTTTGCGAGTCTCGTATGACACCCTGAAGGAAAGACGAGAACGGCGGTTTGGATACCATACGGCCGGTAAGTGCTCAAACGACCCTCTAAACTGGTTTCCATCTCGCTCGTCATGAGAGCTAATTCTGGAATTGTTTTTGCGTCATCTCTTTCACCTTTCGTTTGTCCTGGGTGCTAATCCCAGTTCTCTATTCCCCAGAAGGTTCTCTATGGCAGGATCCACCAGGATATTGGGACGACATCGTTTGGCCCGCCTACGTAAAGGCCCACAAGAACATGTTCGCCGAAGGAGACGTCAGTTCGGGGGCATTAGTAAGGGCGGGTGAACAAGCAGACAAGAATAGGCCGAGTAAGGAACCGGCTTCTAAGTCGTTATCTCAGGGGCTCAATGGTGCTGGGCTACTCCAAGATGCACACGTGCCCGCTTGTGCAGGTAGTCGCGAGCCGAGGCCCCGTCAAGAAAATCAGCCATTTGACGACACTCCAACGTGCTCCTCAGAAGCACGATGCGGCGAGCCTGTTTCACGCCTGGTTGTACTGGCGGCCGAAACAATGGATATGGGGGAAATATTCTCCGTTGCCTGCGCTGCTCTTATGGACGCTGCTTGAGGCCGCTTCTGCCGGTGAGGGCGGCCAAGGAGCTGACCGTCTGTAGCTACTAGAGAAGCCTCCATAATCTCAAAGCTAGGTGCATCCAACATGGTGTTAGACTGGTGTGCAATAGACCGTTTGACACCCATCGCGAGCCGTCGTTATCTATGTTAAGGGTTAACAACTTTTCTTTTCACATTGTTCGGAGGATTGGTCACATTTCGGAAGTACAATGGTAATAAGGGATTGCTTGGTTCATGTTCACTTTCTACGGTTGGTGGACTCGGAAACCTAGCTCAAAACATTACAGGATATAGTTCAAGTCGAAGATGATCTAGAAGTAGACGCGAAGGCTTTAGCAAAGTCCCACACGGCACAGTGACAGCCAGGATCAGGTGTATCAAGGTGGGTTGTTGCTGTTTTTCAAGGCCTCTTATTCACGGCTACGTAGGCAGATTTAGCACCTCAAATAAACTTTGTTTAGGTACTTACCCAACGCCAGAGTCGCAGAATGACTATGGCTCGTGCAGCTGCTGATTCTTTGGCCGCGCCCTTTTGCGTTTTCCATTCTCCCACTATCGTAGTCGTCCCACCTAATATATAGGTGTACTTGTAGGTGCGGCCATGTTCTGGTCCGTCCTCGATGTAGGAAAAAATGACTGGAACATCTCTGTGACGAGCAGCCCATTGGTCTACCGCTTGGCGTTGGGTTTCGGCCATGTTTTTGAGAGGAAGAGATGTTTTGTGAGGCATCAAAGACGAAGTTTCACGTTTTATAGGCCACTACCTAGCGCCGGGAGGAGATCTGGTTATCGTGGAGCGGGTTGCGGACGAGTACCACCGGCCATGCGGCTGGGAAATAGCATATTAGCACCGATAGATCGTTTATCGCACGGAAATATACAATTGTGTCAGAATGTAGTCGAGAACGGGTGTATTGATGACGATGGGATTCTACAGAAAGAGCGGGCACGGATCACAAAATAATAAAGCGAGCGTTTCAAACGGACATAATTCATTAAACGGAATCCCTTGGCGGCGCAGTGTCATCGTAACCTGTCGGTAATCGGGGATATGGTGGTTGACTGGCGCTTTCACCGCTCCACCCCACAATCGCCGTTTTATGAGCGCAGTTTCATATCTTCTTATCGTAGTCATCTCATACTGCTAATGGTATCTCGAGCTTTATAAAGCGTGCGGAACGCTCTAACATGGTCGTCCCATTTATCATCCAAAAGTTTCATTCGTGATCGCCTTTACAGTAGTGAGAGATCTTTCTTATGATATTAGAGCATTTTTGGGGTGAGTAATCCGACACTAAGGGATCGTCGCAGTCAGGCGCCGACTGGAGCCAGCCTCGGAGGAAGTCGACGCCGCCAGTTTGCCGTGCTGGTCGCGTGTTAAAATGATGAATACGAGTCTATTCTGGTACAATAAGCATCAGAAGTCCATAAGTCGGATGACTTGATATTCGCCGTCGCTGACGCAGACCCGTTACGGCACAACCAGGAACGAAGAATATGGAAACCAATCAAATGGGGATTAATCACATAATTAGACATAAAAAAATCAAATTGTTTCTATACTAGGTCAGAGTAAAGGCCCAAGTCCAAAAACATAAGGATTGCATCGAAGATGAATTGAATTAGGTCGGGGAAAAGGAAATAGAATGTGCGTAGTGATATTAATAAGTGCGAAAGGCTCCTTTGAATGGTCGCCTTGTAACGAAAAGTTGCGTTGAGGATAAAGTGGAGCCTGCCGCTTGCGAGTGCATGCATAATATATTAATGGCGCCTTTATGCGGGGTCATTGGGGTCCCAATTTTTGAGAATCTTGAGTGCCGCCTGTGCAGCTGATTCTTTTGCGTCGTTTTTGTTTGTTCTCGGTTGACCGGTTGCTTCAGTTTCTCCTGCCAGTATATAAGTACACTGAAAGCGTTGTGCGTGACCTGGTCCCGTCTCGTCAAATTGAACATCGATAGTAACGTCGGGATGACGAGAGACCCATTCATTCACCCTCATCCGATAGTTGCGCATCGTAAAGGATTGCTAAGAAGGAGCCGAGACACTTCAAAGTACCTCTAGTATGTCTCCTTTTTATAGGCGTCGCTCATGCTGCCAGCTCCAGCTCTGACGGCTGGTCGCACTCCAATAGCCCGTGTGCAGCCGTGAGAAAGGCAAAACGAAGATCCGTGACAAGAATCCTGGTTTCCGGTGAATCCAGCAATCAGGGATGTCTAAAAGGAGTAGCGAATTGAAATTTTGAACGCACTCGCTACACCGAGAGAGAGAAGCCGCTGGTAGGAAGCGCGTTAACTTAATTTATGCGCTTCTTGCTGTATATTTTTAATCTGCAGCAACAAATAGAGGTCATTGAGTTATCTGATCAGCAGTGGGGGGGCTGGGAGTCGCAGGCCACTTTTGTCTGGGAAAGAGCTGGTCGTCGCGCACAATCAATCTGACGCCTCAAAAGTCATTTTGAGGTGATTATACGCTATCAGAGTTCTAATATACGTATAATACGCGGCTAACGATGTATACCACGGGCGAGTTCTACCTCAACATCCACATCTTGCTGCCGCGTCATTCCATATAACATGACCGAGTCATTACTGACTGACAGGAAAGATAACTGATGTCATCTCCTCAAACACCCCGGGCTGGCCCGGCTTTCCGGATCAGCCATTTTTCCACAATCTTACAGCGGCTATTCTAGTGATTTTTGGGGTTCTCAGCTCAATATACATGACTCAGTCTGTATTTTTGGAGATAACGAAAAGTTTTGCATGATGAGAAAGATGGCTGGTTAGTTACGGCTCAGGGAAATAAGGACGCATCTCATTTAAAGTCAGCACATCATGATCTATTTCTGGTCCTTTGCAAATGGAAGGAGCTATATGTTTCATTGTCGCTTACGTTTTGCGAGACGTGAGAAGATAAAATGTAAGTCGTCCCTTGGTATTCGATAACTCCAGTTACAGTAAAGTAGTACAAGTGGATAGTTATAGAAT